TTATTTCCTTCACTTTAAACCCAGCATTATCAGATCTTCACCACCTGCTGAGTGCCTTCACAAATAAAAAAGAGCATGATTCTGTTTCTGTAGTCAGGAAAAAGCCCTGTAAACCCTGAGCCTTTATATAAGTGTCTGTAACCTGGTGACATGTTACACTGTCACTAGGTGATCTCTACAGTTATACATTACTGAACTCTAATGTTCATTATGAAATGTGACAGTGTTGTCATAACAGTAGCACCATGCTGGATGGCTTGTTTAACCCTCTGATTGGCGCCTGAGCTGGAAAAGAACTTGCAGTGGTTGCTAGGGGATTGCTCAGCGGTTGCTGTGGTGTGCAAGACGGTTGCAAGGGTGTTGCTAGTTGGTTTCAATGGTATTCTGGGTGGTTGCTAGGTTGTCAGTAAGTTGTTGCTACGGTACTGCAGGTGGTTGCTAGGGCGTTGCTAAGCGGTTCATATTGTAGCGTTCTACTATTGGCTGGAGCTGGCGCCGGCGCCTGAGACTTTGGAGGTGTGGCTATGCAGATGACCACACACAAAGGGTCATGATATGCATGTGCCCTCCTGAAAAAGGACTATTTGTGTTGTTTATGTTGTTTCTTGTTAGTTTAAGTGTTATTTGTGATATTATGTGTCGGGGATGTTGTGTTTGAGTGTTGGGGGGTCACTGTCGGGGTGAAGTGTGTGGCTAGTAGGGACCTCCCCCTCAAAAGTTTGCTGGCTGTGCAGATGTAGTGTAGACTAAAATGGGGTTATTACAATTACTTATAAAAAGTAAATATTTTATGATTATGATTAATATTATTATTTGTGGTCAGAAAGATCAAATCATCTAGTTTAACACACAATAACAGAGTAAATGACAGGACTCTACAGTGTTCACATTAAAAGCATTGTATATATGCAATATATGCAATATATGTGCATTACAAGTGTGCTAGATATATTTAAATGTGCCATTTTTAACCATTTTCAGAAATTTAAATATATGCCAGTATGTGCAGACGTTAAAATAAATGAACACATCCTCTACAGAGATCACACTTATGCATGCTTCAATGCACAATTACTGTTTTCTTTTGCTAATAAATAGAAATAAATAGATATTGTGCACTAACATTTGCAGATAAATGCCACCTGCATCCTCTGTATAGGATGTGTTAACTTGTTTTACCTTAAATCAACAAAACATGTCTAAAAAAAGTACCCAAACATTTGCATATGTCTTTAAATATGCACATATGTAACTTTTATATATAATGCAAAAGATTCATTCATATTTTACATTTATTCATACACTCATATTTTCACAGTTCTCAAACCAGTAGCTTACATCTGCCCTGAAAGGCTTATAAAACCTGTTTATTTTTTAATAATAATACATTTCCTTTTTCAAACACTCCTTTTGCTACTGAACTTCAAAGTTTGTAAGTACAAGTGCTACAAATGCTCCTAGTTGGCTTGAGCTGGAAGAAATAGCAACTGTAACCAAGCGAGGCAGGACGTTTGCGAACGGTTAATTATGATTATATTGTCCATGTTTAGTCATATTTGTGTATTTTATCATATTTTGTGCTGTTCTCTGAGTGCAACACTGCAGATTCCTCACAGCCTTGTGGTTGATTTGGCAGCGAAGTATTGAAGTCGAGCTCAGTTTGAGGGGAATGAAGATTAGCAGAAGAGATTCCTCGGAGCCGCTAGCCGCTAACGCCTCCGGGTACGAAGGCACCGTCTGGAATCTGATATCTTTTCCACTTCGGGCTGTGCTATATGAAACTGGAACTCAGATTTCCAGAATTCCTCCCTTTCCTCAGAGAGTTCCAGTGCTGGAAAGCTGCTCTGTGGTGATTTACAGGAATTCGGCCTCCGCGTCCCATCTGCTGGAACGCTCTTCAGTGCTAAAACGCTCCTGATGGTTGTTATCGGCCCCTGGAAACAGTTACACGAATGACTCGGCTGATTTTTACGTTTTTTTTGAGGGGTTGGCAACGTGCAGTTGGAGGGTTCGCAGCTCGGGGAGCGCATTCTGAATGTGAGGAGCTTTTTAAGATGTGCTTTGAAAGTCAATAGAGAGCCTGTGGTGGACATCGTGTATGTGTGTGTGTGCTGTTTTCTCATTATCAGTGCAGATAGTGCTGTACTGTACTGTGTTCTTTCCCATGCTGGACTGTTCCAGCTGTATGAAAGGAGCCTTTGTGTTCAATGCTGCCCCAGCTGCACTGTCTTGCTGTGTCTCTAGGGGGCAGTACAGACAATTAGAGAGCAACACACCTCTGGGACTCACTAGCCCTATCATTAGGTCCACTTACCTTGTATCTACACTCAAGTGTCCATTTACCATATGGGTGCATTCTGTAGTTCTACAAGTAGCCCTCCTTCACCCTGTACATGAATGGCCAGGACCCCCACAGGATCACCACTGAGCAGGTATTATTTGGCCAGTGGATCATTCTCAGCACTGCAGTGACTCTGACATCTCAAGGTTGGTGTTTCTAATAAAGTGGCCAGTGAGTAGGAGTGTTACTGACTGTAGCTTTTTAGTAAAACCTACTCTATTACGATCAAGATTAAAATTATTTCAACAAAATTATTTCCAGTACTTCCTACAGTACCATAGCAACCACTTAGCAACAACCTAGCAACGACTAGAATTCCATCAAAAACTACTAACAGTACCCTTGTAACAACCTGGAACAACATAGCAACCACTAGCAATCACCTCCTATGTCCTATGATGCCGTTGCAACCACTTTGCGACAACCTAGCAATCACATAGAATACCATTGAAAGCAACTGACAACACCCTTGCAACAACCTGGAATGACATAGCAACTATCTAGGAATCACCTGGCAACCACCTGGAATAGCATCCATCTAGCAGCACCAAAGGCAAAACTAGAATATCACAGAAAGCAACTAGCAACACTCTTGCAGCAACTTAATGTAATAACAGAGCAACCACCTAGCAATCACCTGGCAACCACCTAGAACACTACCTGGAATAGCAACCATCTAGTAGCACCATAGCAAAACTGGAGTACTGCTGAAGCTGCCCAATATCTTGGCTTCCATCACCACTGAGCGGCAAGCTATCAAAAACCTAGTATACCATAGAAACCAAGTAGCAACACCCTTGCAACAACCTGGAATAACATAGCAACCGCCTAGCAATCACCTGGAATGCTACCTGGAACTGGTACTGCTTAAGCTTAATCATTTGGCTTCCGTTGCTTGTTAGCAACAGTAGCCTTCCATCTCCAGTGTGAGGCTCCAAACGTGTCAGCTGATTGGCTGCGTTTGGCGTGAGGAGGGGAAACGGTGTACATTTGAACTGATCCCTGAGTCTCGTCCAATAAGAGCGCTCACTCTTCTCCATTCACTCCACCCAAAACTGACCTGTCAGTCACTCAGCCGGGGATGTGAAATGTACAGCCTTTTGTCATGGCAACGTGTTTCCACTGGGCTTTACTGTCAGAGCTGCTGGGAGTGATGAGGACACGCACACACACTGGTGATCTGTGGGTGGGTTCTAATCCCAGCAGCGGCAGCGGCGGCATGAATAAAACATATGGAAATGTGTAAGAATCTCTTCTTTCTCTGCCTCTACATGAACAACACGGCTCAAAGCACACGGGAAACAAAAGAAATACGAGCTCTGCGTGTATGTGTTGTAATTTTTATAGGAGGCCAGAGGAACCTTCGGAGTAAATATTTCTGTCTGAAGTACAGGTAGCCAACAGGTGCGGTTCTGTATACGAGGTTTTAGCAGGAGAACTCTCAGCGTGGCTTTAAAACTCAACTGCGCTGAAATAATACACACGTTCTTTTCCTCCTGGGGTAAAGGAAGGTAAAGAATGGAGAAGAAGGGCTGTTTGTTTTTGCTCTGTAGTTTTGCGCCCGGGGCTGTTTGTAGCGGTTCTCCTCAAAGGCCAGTGATGGTTCTGTAGATTTCCCACCTTATTCTTTTCCTAGGGGTCAGGGATATATTGGGATGGCCTGACAGTTGGACCGGGCCAAAAAAACCAAACAAACATATAAATTCAGGCACTTTAATACGTGCATTTGATCGCAAAACCTCAAATATTCAGAACAGCAACTTCACAAAAGTAGGAAAAGAAAGACTCTTTAATGTAAGTTGATGCAGCAAGATTTTATTCCAAGTAATTCTGAATAATTTCTTTCGATTAATCCATTATGAACAGCTGACACTTCAAAATTGATAAGCGCAACAGTGTAAAATAATTGTATAATCACAGTAGGTGTAATAACTAAATTATAAATAACTGTAGTAGAGTTAATTCATTTTAACCATTTAATATGAAAAGGCAATATTGAGATCAGTGTTGACACCATTTAACTTAATTCTTAAAATAGGTCAGTTCAGGTACTGTAACAATACCAAAAGTGTGCAAAAGATATTGTTATGGTACAAAACCGGTGCAAAAGATATTGTTATAGTACAAAACCTGTGCAACAGGTATTGTTACAGTACAAAAAGTGTGCAAAAGGTATTGTTACAGTACAAAATGTGCAAAAGGTATTGTTACAGTATACCTGTATGTGCGAAAGATATTGTTATAGAACAAAACGTGTGCAAAAGATATTGTTACAGTACAAAACGTGCGAAAGGTATAGTTATAGAACAAAACGTGTGCGAAAGTTATTGTTATAGTACAAAACGTGTGCAAAAGGTATTGTTACAGTACAAAACGTGCGAAAGGTATAGTTATAGAACAAAACGTGTGCTAAAGTTATTGATTTAGTACAAAACGTGTGCATAAAGTATCATTACAGCACAAAGAATATTCAAGATGAAATTAAAATTACTCACCAGAATGTACAGCTCATTTTCCGTTGTCACCCCAAAAGAGGAATCCACCTTGTCTGTCTATGTGTTGTTGTATTTAGATACGTGGTCTGATTTTTCACTGTACTTTGGTTGACCAGCAGGTTTGAGCGAGTGATGTAACTGAACTGTTCTCTCTTTCTCCACAGGTCATCCTCATCCTCACCAAGTATTACCATGCGGATTCCACCAAGGTGCTGGAGAGCTCCCTCTGGAGGTAGGCGATGCTGGGTCTTTCTCTCAGCTAGCATTGTTGTCATGAATGAAAGTTAGCATGAGCTTGGTGCTAGTTAGCCTTGTGAAGAAGAGTGACCATGAGACTAGATCACAAGTGTTAGCCATGGTGTAGAAATGCTCTCTGACCTTCTGCAAGACTAAAGCCTGTTTGCTGTGCTGTCTGTAATCCTGCTTGTTTAAGCCAGAGCTAGTTTGCTATCAAAGGAAGTGAACAGGGACTAGGCCAGGGGTCGCAACCCAAATGTTAAGAAGAGCTATTTTGTCCTTTCAACAAAAGTCAAACCACTTTGGGAGCCACAACACTTTATGTCCATTTTATTAATGTAACGTTTTACCATCTTGGCTGAAAATATGTCTTAATATGTATTAATGTCTTGGTATAGACCAGAAAATAGAAACGAAAACGCAGACTTACTTTGCTCTGCTTTAAGCTTTAGCTCAGCTATAGCTGCTTTTCTCGCATCTCCAGCAGGAAACTTTTCCGCAAAAGTAGAACAGATTCTTGAAAAATGTCTCTCAACGTTTGACTTCTTACGAAGCTGAAGTTGCTTCTCATTCGCCAACTTCTTGTCTGAATTTTCCTGTTTCACCTTAAATGGTGCCAGAATGTAACAGCTGCACAATTTAAGGTGGAATGGGAAAATTCAAACAAGAAGCTGGCGAATGAGAAGCTGAGTTCAGCTTCACGACTTTTTAGTGTTCGCTCGATTGTCAAAGTTCGTCTTAACTTCGTCTTTTTGTCTGCGTTGCTATGGTGACCAGCAGTCTGGGTGCTGATCTTCAGGGTTAAAGGGTGAATTAGCAGTTCTACATTAACTCCAGAGTTTAAGACCATTTATTGTTAAACTGTGTTGAATGATCAGCAGAGCTTTATTTTACTGTAAAGGAGGATTATTTTACTTTTACCTACAAATCTGATTCAGCTGTGGAGCCACAACAGGGCAGTAAAAGAGCCGCATGTTCTCGACTCCTGGCCTAACAGCTAATCTTTGCTCCTTTTAGTTCCACTACAAGTTGGGCAGCAACTGTAGCTCTGTCCCAGCTGGTGCACTTGTGGTCTTGGAGAGGTGTCCACAAGTGGGGCCATTTCTCATTTTATTGTTCGAATTGGAGCTCACATTTGCCCTCTATGTGTCCTCTATGTGCCCTCTATGTGCCCTCTATGTGCCCTCTGTGTGCCCTCGGTGTGCCCTCTATGTGCCCTCTGTGTGCCCTCTGTGTGCCCTCTGTGTGCCCTCTATGGGCCCTCTGTGTGCCCTCTATGTGCCCTCTGTGTGCCCTCTGTGTGCCCTCTATGGGCCCTCTGTGTGCCCTCTATGTGCCCTCTGTGTGCCCTCTGTGTGCCCTCTGTGTGCCCTGTCCTAGCTTGTTTTGCTTGTGTTATCGATTGTACTCTGGACATTAAAAGAGCACGGACTACAGCACTTTGGCTGGTTTCAGAGGGGGTGTATCTCCTTTTTGAGGCAGATTTTTCCAGCTCTAAAAGTTTAAGGAGTTGTCCCCAGATGTGTTGGTACTAGATAACATCTGGCTCTGCGAGACTAATATAGCACAACAAGGCTGTGTTACTGTTTATTGTGAGAAACAGGTGGAAGGCTCTGCTGTGATGCTGTGTTCAGTCTGCAGCTGACATCACCTCGCAGTGTGGTTTACTGCCCCCACTATTTATGCTGGTGCTGCATCTCAAGTACGCGTCACCTTAATTTCTGAGGACACGAGCAGCCAACGCTCTGAGCGAACACTGGATCAATGAGGCAAATTACAGCCATGGTTAAAATCAAGGCCCTTCAGAGGCCTCTGGACCCACACTGACTTCGTGTTTTCACCACAATTCAGTTGTCCCAGTTCACCCAAGTGAGCTCAGGAAGTGCTCAACAATTAGCGCTGATCATGGCCTGATACTGTGGACTTCTGGGAATATTTTATTAAAACTACAGCACTGTAGTCCATTAAATTCAATAGATAGTATTTTAATAGGCAGCAATAATGCATACGTTTGAAAATCCATGTTTTGTTTATGTGCTATTATCAATCAATCAATCTATCTATCTATCTATCTATCTATAAGGAAACACCTACTTTCCTTTCTGTGTAAGTCAATGGAACCAGTCATTTTGAGTCAGTGCTGCTGGAGTTTTAAACACTGTGTCCACTCACTGTCCACTCTATTAGACACTCCTAACTTGTCAGTCCACCTTGTAGATGTAAAGTCAGAGACGATAGCTCATCTGCTGCTGCACAGTTTGTGTTGGTCATCCTCTAGTCCTTCATCAGTGGTCACAGGACGCTGCCCACAGGACGCTGTTGGCTGGATATTTTTGGTTGGTGGGCTATTCTCAGTCCAGCAGTGTCACTGAGGTGTTTAAAAACTCCAGCAGCACTGCTGTGTCTGATCCACTCGGACCAGCACAACACACACTAACACACCACCACCACGTCAGTGTTACTGCAGTGCTGAGAATGATCCACCACCCAAATAGTACCTGCTCTGTGAGGGTCCATGGGGGTCCTGACCACTGAAGAACAGGGTAAAAGGGGGCTAACAAAGTATCAGAGAAACAGATGGACTACAGTCTGTAACTGTAGAACTACAAAGTGCACCTATATAGTAAGTAGAGCTGATAAAAAGGACAATGAGTGTAGAAACAAGGAGGTGGTCAGAATGTTATGCCTGATCGGTGTGTGTGTATATATATATATATATATACATACATGCTGTTATAAACAGGATATTCTCAGGTATATGATATCTATGCAGACATATGTACTCACATGCGGAACAAAACCTTCTATCGTCATTTTTTCACTTTGCTTTTTTGAATACATAACTAATATATGTAATAAACGCCACCTGCCCTTTACAGTGTGTCAAATGATCCAAAATCACTTGGAACAAAATCTTGTTTTATTAGGTTACATTGAAATTTAAGAACATTCTTGTTTCCTCCTGTAAACACACAAGGTTTTGTTCTGGCACTGAATAACTGCAGTGTCCCAACTGGAATTAACAAACAGCATCAAAGTGACAGAAAGTGTCCAGAAGTTATGTGCACTAAAACTTAGATGATCAGGTTTGGACTTATGGGAATATTTTATTCAAACTCTAATTCTACAGTCCATTAGATCTAGTAGATGAGCCTTTAATGGGCACCAATAATCAGTTGAAAGTCCTTGTTTTGTTTATGTGCCTGTGCGTGGCAGAGATGTTTTTGTCTTATAATTATCGTATGCCAGACTGGACAACACAGAAAATGAATTTATCTGATAATTGTGGGCCCCTGTGTGGGTCCACAGCCTGAAGCATCATTTAAGCCTAATGTGTGCCCCAGCATATCTCTCTAAAGGGTTTGGCCCACCTTCATGTCTCTCTGGTGGGCACTGGGCCATGGTCCCCTCGTCCCTGTGGGGCGTAATAACAGAGCCTCACACTCCTGTAACCAGCGGAGGTATTCTCTTAATTAGGAGCGCTAGCGGGATTTCCAACACTGCGCGCTAATTGCCTCACTCGCTAGCTCATTACCAGCTAGCCTTGACCGCTCCTGGCCGCGATGTCTGAGCTGTGGTTGTTATCTGGGCTTGTATGTAAATGAGTTTGTGGTTTTGTTTTTGTTTTTTTGTTGAGCTTGAATGGGCTCCTACCACATGAGAGGGTTTCTGAGGAGCGCCGAACATTAGAGGAGGAATCTGTGTAGATTTGGGCAATAAATCAAGAATGATAATAATCAAACGAGGTATTTCTTCATACCTACGGTGCTTAACCCTCTGGGGTCCACGAATTCGTCCGCTTGTCAGATCCAATGTTTCTATATCTGTTTCTGTATCTTTGTGATGATCCAGCTCAGAAATCCAGTTCAAACAGTTCCTGAGTCTGTAGAGTCGCCCTTTCCGTTCCATCTTATCACGAGATCGAATGTGACTCACATCCGGAGTTATGAGCCTGTGAAGAGGGGCTGAGATACACGTCGTCTGCCTCTCACTGTGTGGAACTGGTGGATTTGTGTGTCTACATTCTGTGTGAAACTGACCAATCACACCAGAAAACCTTCCTTTTTGTGCCCAACAACACCCCTTACCCCGCTGAAAAAAAAACAGAACAGACTGGCATGAATAGCCTGGTCTACACTGGTATAGTGCTGGTCTGGTGCTGGTTTACCTGGTTTATGCTGGTTTTTGCTGGTCTGGTGCTGGTTTACCTGGTTTATGCTGGTTTTTGCTGGTCTGGTGCTGGTCTGGTGCTGGTTTACCTGGTTTATGCTGGTTTTTGCTGGTCTGGTGCTGGTTTATGCTGGTTTATGCTAGTTTATCCAGCAGGGTACCCATAATAAAATCACTGTAAAGCCTCTTATTTATTTAGCTTCTTATTTCTAACTTATTTTTTTTAAATATATTATTATGTACAGTTTTTTAAATATATACTGATTTCGTGGATATTCTTATATGACATTGCTGTCATGTCAAAACCTCATTTTTCCCTTTTTGGTGAACATTTCATGATGCATGGATCAATAGAAATTGCCTATAAATACTTTAAATAAATCTTGTTTAACCCATGAAAGTGACATTTTTTAATGAAACTACAATTTCAGAGATACAGGATTCTGCTACAGAACATTTCATGCATACTTTATTTTTAAAAGTACAGTCGTTTAGTCTTGAAAAAGATGGTTCTTCAAGGGTTCTTCAGCAAAGAATATGGTTCTGTGTAGAATTGTGAGCATTTGCATGCTTAAATTGTTTTTTTGCGTGGTGAATGGTTCTTCAGATTGTTGAAGAGTGTGTGGTACCCTTTTTGGTGCTGTATAGAGCTCTTTCAAAAAGGTTCTATATAGAACCATATACAACACACTCTCAGTCTGAAAGAACCATTTCATCATGCAAACAACGCTTTAAGCATACAAATGGTTCTTTGAGTGTTCACAGTTCTACACAGAACCATTTTTTTACTAAAGGACCCTTGAAGAACCATGTTTTTTAAGAGTA